CCTACCAGTGGGGGACAAACGCCACTGAATGCCAAACACACTAGAGCAAGTTTGTGCTCTGAAATAGGTGAGTGTATTACCTCCCTATTATTCTCCTATACTTTCAGTTATCTACAGACAATCTACACTATTGGATTTTTTGTGTTCTCTTTATCTTTCATGGTTTCCACTGAATCAAGACTACATCTACATCCACATCTACTTTAGAAGATCCTGTTTTTCCACTCCTGTGCCATAAATAGTAAGAGATGGACACCAAGTACTGAAATCTTCATCTATCCACTGGAACTTATTATAAGCACACCAAGTATTTGGACTATTTATTATACTTTGTTCTTATTTTATAGTTTTTAGTGTATTAAAATATTTTATATTTATTTGTTATAGCGCGACCTATATTTCTTCTGTTTTTGGGTATAGAAAGCAGAAGCTCCTCTTTCGTGATCCACTTGGCCACATTACAACAAGGCAGGTAAGTAGGGTTAACATTAAAGGGCCTAACATAATAAATGTGGGCATGATTTTGTTGAGAGGGCAGCATTTCCTTCTTTGACTCCCACTACACTCAGGCAGCTGCCACAGTATAAAAACAAAACAATAATATTTACTGTTTCAATTGACAGCAGTTTTGTATGGCCCTAAAGTGTTGGCTTAAATTTATCTTCATGCTTTTTCAGAAAAGTTCAATAATCACTCTGATTAATCATGACACAATAAAAGGAAGCATTTAAGAAATAAAATAACGTTATAACATACTTTATTTAGACCTAGTGTAACCTGAATAATTTCATACCACGCCACTGACTTTGTTAAATATTTGAGTTATTTCCCTCCACGTTGATTTAATCAAACAAAAATGAAAAGGCCTGATCCACAGAGTTCAGCTGTGCTTATTATTGCTGAGATAAATCAGCCGCAATGGGTGGCCGAGAAATAACATATTAGGGCATCAAAATTATAGCACCCAAAAAGATATTTCACTATCAAAAAGCCCATCAGCCAATTGCACTTTCTTTCAAATGATGTGCAGGTAATTTTAACTGTGTCTTATCCAAATCCAATGGAGCTTATGAAAACAACAAATATAGTACTCTGAAATGACTATCACAATATAACAGCTACTGTAAATATTTCAATATAAACAGCATAATTTGATGGTATAAATGATACATTGTGGTGATAGAAATGCATCACACTAATGACCTCACTACAATGTGACCAGGCAGTTAAACTGAAATACAATAAAATGACTAATAAATCTTGTAGTAAAGGCTAATTTATACACATATGCCCATCCTATACAATCATTTGGTTATAAGCAATAGAGAAAATAGTCAGTAGAAGGACGATGTATTGAAAAATCTACCCCTACCACACTAATTGCCTTGATCAAGTGTACCACTAATTCCTGTAAGGACTGAAACCGATTTCAGTGAGGAATGAAAGCGGCACTTGAGTGACTGTCTCTATCACATAAGATGAGCAAAATTAATTATTATATATGTCAATACAGTGCAGTGAATTGCTTTGTTGAGATAGCTAGTAAGTAGTAGTAGTAGTAGTAGTAGTGGGCCTGTAATAAATTTTTGTATTCTCCTGCCCAACTAAACCTTGTTTATGCTGCATCAATGAAATGAGGAGTTAATAAAGAACCAGCCTCGCCTTCTTGCTCCCCTTCCCCCTCCCGGCCCCCCATTGCTTTCTCTTTGGTGTATAGGCCAAGGCCTAGCAGAAAGTATAATTACATCTCCCTGCATTCACTTTGCAGATATGGTGTTCATGAGATGAAAACATGAGATGCAGTTCTAAAATTGTTGCACGGAATTTCCCTTTAGTTCCATATCTAAGGCCTCTATTTAATAAGCTTTCCAAATGATCTATCTAATAATTACAAGAAAACTTGCAGGAACAATAGGTCGAAGAGGACCCTGCTCAAACGAGCTTACAGTCTATAAGAGGTGGGGTATAAGACACATTAGGACAGGAAATATCAATTAAATAGGGTGGGAGTGAAGCAGAGCTGGAGGAGAGAGTAAAGCACTGCCCTGTAGGAGAGAGCAAGAGACAGGTAGAGGTTACTCTGGGAGGCCATAAGCTTTCCTAAAGAGATTGGTTTGAAGGCACTTCTTAAAGGATTGAAGACTAGGGGAGAGTCTGATGGGGGGGATATTACTAGAACATGGACAAGCTCCTTGGTAGCATCTTGTGTAAGAAAAGGGCGGATGCGGGCTATGTTTTTAAATTGGAATCTACAGGATTTGGCACCAAACTGGATGTGAGGCTCAAAGGTGAGGCCAGAGTCAAGTATGATGCCAAGACAGTGTGCTTGCAAGGATGGACTTATGTGGATATCACTGACTTGAAGGGAGAGCGAGAGAGGAGGATTAGTATTAGGAGGAGGAAAGAGAAGGAGTTCAGTTTTAGAGAGATTGAGTTTCAGAAAGCGCGAGGACATCCAGTCTGAAATGGAAGAAAGGCCAGCAGTGACACTTGCGGGACGGCAGGGGAAAGGTCCGGGCAGGAGAGGTATATCTGAGTGTCATCAGCATATAGGTGGTAGTGGAATCCAAAGGAGGCAATAATTTTGCCAAGAGAGGCAGTATAAAGAGAAAATAGAAGGGGACCAAGGACAGAGCCTTGGGGAACTCCAACCGAGACAGGATGAGGGGAGGAGGTATCCTTGGAAAAGGAGACACTGAATGAGCGTTGGGAGAGATAAGAGGAAAACCATGAGCGGACAGAGTCACAGAGACTGAGCGATTGAAAAGTTTGAAGGAGGAGAGCATGATCAACCGTGTCAAAGGCAGCAGAGAGGTCCAGGAGAATTAATATGGAGTAGTGACCTTTGGATTTAGCTGTGATTAGGTCATTAATAACTTTGATAAGAGCAGTCTCAGTAGAGGGGAGAGGGCAGAAGCCAGACTGAAGAAGATCAAGGAGAGAGTTAGAATTGAGGAAGCGAGACAAGTCTTTCCAAAAGCTTTGATGAAAAAGGGGGCAGGGATATGGGACGATAGTTAGAGGGAGAAGATGGGTCAAGAGATGTTTTTTTCAGGATAGGTACTTAAGTGGCATGTTTAAGGTTAGCAGGAACAGTGCCAGAAGAGAGAGAGCACTTGAAGATATGTGTTAGGGAAGGCACAAGACAATGGGAGAGAGATCTGATGAGGTGAGATGGGACAGGATCTAGCGGGTAAGTGATGGGGCGAGAGGAATTGATTAAATCAAGACCCAAGTTTCCAGAACTACAACTAGATGTCTTCTCCATGCAACTACCTATTTGAAGGGCTGACAGAATAAAGCCTTTATTAAGAGCAGACGAGATATATAGCTATCTAGCGTTTCACATTGATATACCTGTATTGGAACCAGGTTGGTCAAATTAAATAACTTGGGTCATATATGTCAGTGGTTGGTTTAATGTAAAATATGGTGGTAGATTGTTCATGTAATAGGGCTGTTTTGTTTTCACTGGTCAGATCTCTACCAAGTACCAGGACTTTTTAGCATTCGAAAGTGAATTGAAATCTACAACTAAATCTTTGGTTGGGTTGGCATTTTAATGGTTTAACGTGCTGTGGAGATCTGTACATACATTTTATAGATATGGAGATCTGTGATAATTATTAACTTCAGACATTCCCTTCCTTCTGCAATTGATCTCTAATCACCTCCAATGTCATTGTTCACGTCTTTCTTTCCATAGTCTATTCCATGCCAATTTATTTGCCTTTTACCACTGTCATACCAAGCAAAACATTGTTATTAAATGTAATATATGTAGTATAAACATATATTGGTGGTAGGGTGAGTATTTTGGTTGTATAGTGTATATCAGGTCACAGGGAAAGATTTGAAAAGTGAATTCTTTCTTTGGTGCCCTATATGTCCCTCTGCCAGGTGTGAAATTGTGCACCCAAATTGCATGTAGGTTTATATATTTTTTAAAATCTAGTTTGGATGGTTACACCCCATTTGCCTGTGTTGCTTCAGATGCGTTGGCCCATTTTGATATGCTAAGTGATTGTTAGCAGTTAGGAGGCAATTCTTTGGCAGAAAACTATAATAATAACTCAGAGATGAATAATCATGAATCCTGTTGTATATATTCTTATCAGTGTAACCTACAAAAGGAGTCTAAACATGGCTAGTGTAACTTAAGCCGTTTTGAAAGAGCTGTGTAGGGATGCTATATCTTACATCATAGACGGGTCTTGTAAGATATGTATGAAATGGATAAATTGCAAGGTGTACAACAGGAAATAAAACCAGTTTTTCATATAGATTGGTGTTTGAATCCAACAAAAGGAGGCGTGGAGAGGGGTAAGCAACCTAGATTTCTCACTGGTAGCCTTTCTTCAGCCCTATACCTCCATCCGGGCTGGCATGTAAATTTAAGATGAGCAAAAGGGTGCAAAACCCATGGAATATTAATTAGCTACATGCTCAGTAGGAGATCTAATTTGGGTTAGTGCCAGTTTCTATTAGAGCTCTCCTGGACACACAAAAATGATTGGTTTGCCATTTATTTCTGTATATTTTGTATGCACTCTGACTATTTTTGTGTATAATATATATATATATATATATATATATATATATATATATATATATATATATATATATAAAACCTACAGTTCTGCCTTTGTCTGGAAAAGAATTACATTACCTGAAGAGACTGACTTAAATTCAAATTGCATAGATATTATACCAAATTAATTTTATGAGATTTTAATCTCCATTGCTTGGGGAAGCAGGGTTCCCCATTTTATAAATTTTTGGAGGTGACAGCTTTTGACTCTTGACTGTGGATGTTAAGAGGGATCTTTAATCATTTTATTATCTAGTGCAGACAAATAGTGATTTTTTTAAAACCCATTTCTTTCCAGAACTAAGTTGCAGGCATGCTTGGAGTAATGTGTGTTTGTGACAACAACACCTTTACTTTTAATAATTAAAATTTACCCCATTTGGGGGGGCGGAGCAAGCAGCCGGACAGAATGGACGTGTCTCTCAGGAACTCCGTTCAAGCCGGGGAAAAACAAGCTGTTTCTGCCCAAATTACCCTACCACACCAGCCCTACCAACTTCTTAAGACAATGAGACGCAAAAGCAAAAAATACCGGACGGAAAAACACCCAACTACCGCCAATATCGGCGAACTTTTGCGGAGGCCGCAAGAATCCGACGCACCATCCAGATCATCTAGTGAAGACTCACTCTGCAACCTGGAAATGATGGCGGAGACGAAGAGAGCAGGCAAGCCTAAGGCACAAAGCAACCGTCACTGAAGACCGTCTGAAAGACCTCTTGGATGATCTACGCCGACATGTTGCAGCAGACATCAATTAATTTAAAGAGGAAACTACATGACACAGAAATCAGCACAGCAGCACACAAGGCCCGCATTAATAGCCTTGAGAGTGAGCTGATTAAGACCAAGAACGATTTGATCCAAACCCAGCATCAAGTTGCAGCAATGGAAGCTCCTAGGCGATGGAACAATGTTAAAATAAGGGGTCTGGCTGAGAGCGTTACAACCTCAGAAATCCCCCACCTCATCCAGCTTATTCGCACCAAAAAGCTGTTGCTGGAGGGGTGCTACAGGCTACCACAACCGCAGGCGAACTCCCAGCAAACCAGCAGGGATGTAATAGTGGGTTTTCAGCACGGCCCGGACAAGCAGGCCTTCCTGTCAGTGGTCCGCAACACCACTCCTTACCAATTACATTCCTTATTATTCTACCCGGACATTTCCAGGGCCATAATGACATGGCGGAGATCCATGAGACCACTTACCACAGTGCTGATGCAACATAGGAGACCCTACAGATGGGGAGCACCACAAAGCCTTTTGATACCTAACGAGACTGGGACTCTTAGAGTTGCTGACATTTCCGAAATGGGCTCCATTCTTCAACAACTTGGTCTCCCCCCCGCGGAGACGGGGACGCGACCACCAGTGCCTAAGCCAAAGTCACAGACATGGGACCTGGCCACTATCCGCCCTTTTGTCCCGGCTACCCAACGGAACAACACCGCTACCACCGAGACAACTTGAATGTCCTACACTACCACGCAATGCTTGCAGTACTTCTTTTATCCAAGTTACTGTTTAATATGTTGCACTGTTTATTAGATAATTAGGTACATAAGCATGCACAATGTGTACGCAGATAGCTGTCCCTAGAGACATGTCTCACCAAACCCTCACCCGCTGGCTCTGGGGTATATGTACCCATTTCTTTCTCCCCCCCCCCCACCCCGATCATTGATCTCAGCGCTAAGTTACATGTTAAAAGGGGTGTTTTGCCTCTTCTGCTTTAGCCACAAATGTTAATGTCCTACACTCGCTGATCCCAAGAGGCTCATAGGATTCTACCGATGACCTTCCAAAGACGGGCAGTCGGCATACTTTAGCTGAGTTGATTAGCCACTGTTTCCTATAGTTTTTTACGATAAAACCTTCAGACCTAATGCATTCCACATGGCTAATTATGAGAGAATAGGCAGGTTTGCTATATACTGTTGTTATGCATGCTCCTAAAAACGCCTTGCATATTATCCTAATGGCACACAACCTCCAGTACACACAAACTGGTCTGTGAGCCACTCTTAGCCCTGTTTAAGATAACCTGTTTTTTTGCACTGCTAATTAGTACACAGCTTAACTAAATTCTGCTAGTAATAATACTAAAATGTGCATGAAAAGTATTTGCCATGTGAATGTTATATTATGTATAATGGAACGCTTGCATCCGCTGTCGTGGCAATGCAGGCCGCCTGTACACAACAAGCACAATAAAAAGAAAGAATTTAAAATAAATAAATTTACCCCATATGTCCAGGGCTGGATTAACATAGGGGCTGATGGAGCTTTGTGACTAAATGGCTACTAAAAAAGACTAAACATTCCCACGTTCAATACCTTGGGTGGTCTACTTTTTCAAATGGTATGCCATTATGGGGGTAATTCTCATTCCTGGGCTACCACACCGTCTCAAAGGTAACATTACTAATCTGGCAAATTTCAATTTGAAAATGGAACGTTCTATATTTGACACTTTCCAAAACACCATAAAACCTGTTAATGGTGGGTACTGTTGTACTCGTGAGACATCACTGATTACAAATATGTGCATTTTTTTGCAGTAAAACCTAACAGTATTATGACATTTACAGCTAAAATGTGAGGCGGAACTACAAATTAAAAAAAAAAAATTCTCACAGTTTTTTACATTTTATTCATAATAAATTATGTTTCATATATAAATATTTGATATGAAATGAAAGCCCTGTTTCTCCTGAACAAAATGATATATAATAAGTGTGGGTGCATTTAATATGAAAGAGGTGAATTACGGTTGAACAGACATATAGCGAAATTCCAGTTTATGTTTACGTTTTGTTTTGATCAGAACTCCGTCCTGAAGGGGTTAAATATAGTCTCCTCCTTTACTGTGTTGATTCCCTTTATGTATTTAAATGTTTCTATCATATCCCCCCTTTCTCGTCTTTTCTCCAAGCTATACATGTTAAGATCCTTTAACCTTTCCTGGTAAGTTTTATCCTGCAATCCATGAACCAGTTTAGTAGCCCTTCTCTGAACTCTCTATAAAGTATCAATATCCTTCTGGAGATACGGTCTCCAGTACTGCGTACAATACTCCAAGTGAGGCCTCACCAGTGTTCTGTACAATGGCATGAGCACTTCCCTCTTTCTACTGTTAATACCTCTCCAAGCAGTCTGCTAGCATTTCCTGCTGCTCTATTACATTGTCTGCCTACCTTAAAGTCATCAGAAATAATCACCCCTAAATCCCTTTCCTCAGATGTTGAGGTTAGGACTCTATCAAATATTCTGTACTCTGCCCTTGGGTTTTTACGTCCAAGATGCATTATCTTGCACTTATTCACATTAAATGTCAGTTGCCACAATTCTGACCATTTTTCTAGTTTACCTAAATCATTTGCCATTTGGCCTATCCCTCCTGGAACATCAACTCTGTTACATATCTTAGTATCATCAGCAAAAAGACATACCTTACCATCAAGACCTTCTACAATATCACTAATAAAAATATTAAAGAGAATGGGTCCAAGTACAGATCCCTGAGGTACCCCACTGGTGACAAGCCCAAGGTTTGAATATACTCCATTGACTACAACCCTCTATTGCCTGTCACTCAGCCACTGCCTTACCCATTCAACAATATTGGAATCCAAACTTCAAGATTGCAGTTTATTGATAAGCCTTCTATGTGCAACAGTGTCAAAAGCCTTACTGAAATCTAGGTAAGCAATGTCTACTTCACCATCCTGGGGACACTCTGACACTTGGGGACACTGGGACACCAGGGGACACTGTGAGACATGGGGACACTGAGATATAGGTAGACACATTGGGACATGGAGACACTAGGGACACAGTGTCTCCATGTCTCCCAGTGCCCCATGTCTCCCAGCCAGTGTCCCTAGTCTCCCAGTGTCAGTGTCCCCAAATTGCTGTGTCCCCATGTCTCCCAGTGTCCACATGTCTCCCAGCCAGTGTCTCAGTGTCCCCATGTCTCCCAGTGTCCCCAAATGTCTCAGTGTCCCCATGTCTATGTCCACAAGGGCCCCCATGTCTCCCAGTGTCCCCATGTGTATATGTCCCCATGCCTCCCAGCCAGTGTCCCTAGTGTCTCAGTGGCCCTATGTCTCCCAGTGTCCCCTAGTCTCCCAGTGTCTGTGTCCCATGTCTCTCAGTGTCCCTAGTGTCTTAGTTTCCCCAAATGTCTTTGTGTCCCTAGTGTCTGTGACCCCATTTCTACCAGTGTCCCCAAATGTCTGTGTCCCCATGTCTCCCAGTGTCCCCAAGTGTCACAGTGTTCCCGGGTCTCTCAGTCTTCCCATATCTCACTGTGTCCCCATGTCTCACTGTGTCCCCAAGTGTCTCAGTGTCCCCTAGTATCCTAGTGACACGGGACACACTGAGACATTGGGACACTGGGAGAAATGGGGACACAGACACTGGGAATCTAGGGGACTGGGCGACATGGGGACACGGACACTGTGATACATAGGGACACTGTTGCCAGGCTGGCCTTCCAATTCATTGAACAGACATGCCCCTTTTTTGGGTATGTTCGCCCCTTTTGGCATTTCTGGTCACGTGATTTGCATCAGTGGCCCACTCTTTTACCACGCCCATTCATTGACTTTCTGCTTCACTGGACACTGCTGTTAGGGGGTATGGATTTACTTGAAAGATGAAAGCATAAATTAGATAAAGAGATTAGCATAGAGTATGTGTTTTTAGAGTATGTGGGTTAGAATTTACCTGAGACTGCTCCTGTCACTCATGGTTCACCTGTGGCTGATCACTGATTAGCCAGGTATAAGACACTGCCTCTCCCTGAGGGCAGTGTCAGTTCATTGACTCTGGCTCCTGTATTGGTGTTTGTGTTCCAGTGTTCTCCAGTTGGCTCCTGACCTTGGCTTTCTATTCGTGTATCCTGACTTCTGGCACCTTCTGACCTTTGGCTTACCCACGACTATTCTCCTGCTTGTGACTGTACTTGTACTGCGACTTGGAGCATTATCCAGCACCGCCCCCGTGCACAGACTCACAGGCCAGGTGAATTCTTTTTTTTTTGACAATCTTTATTTTCAGTAGTTTGTTAAACAAGGGTACAGAAAGGAAGAGAGGGAGAGCAGTCAGATCTATGTTAAGGATATGCATTGTCTACAGCATACTTTCATAAACCCAGGACACGTTTTACAATAGTGGTTTGGTAGCTTGTGTGAGTTCAGGTTAAGGAGGGCAAATACAATCATAGGGATATGGTGCCACAATCCGCACTTTGCTAGTGTCAAGTACCTTTGGTAGTGTATCCCTCTCTCGTTGTTGTGGCTCTGCGGCGCTAATGATTAGGGGTCTATGGGTCAGGTGTTGGTCTCTGCATTGGTTATGCATACCGTAGCCCGGGCTACGACGTGAGAGGTTGTGGACCGCACAATGTCTAGGCTTCCCGGGTGCGGGGCGTATGTCACCCCGTCTGTGAGGGGTCCCTTCTGCTGGTCGTCATCGGGTCAGTCCTGGCTGTGGCGTCTATGTGTGTCTATGCATAGATCGTATGGTACGGTCGGTGGCTGGGTGTGGGTCTGTCCAGTCTGGTACGAGTCATAGGGGAGGGGAAGGTTAAGAAGAGTGGGCGGAGAGCGAGAGAGAAAGAAGGAGAAAAAGACTGGGTGAGGGTGGTCAAAGCGGAAGGGAGAGCAATAGGGGTGGGCGCGAAGGCCTGGGTATGGGACTCAGGTGTTTGTTCTAGCCACCGTGGTGTACATGAGCCAGGGAGTCCATGTCTGGTTGCATTTTTCTGACCTGCCCTGGAGGTCTGCGGTCATAGTCTCCATGGCATGGATTTCTCCGACTCTATCCACCCATTGTTGGAACGTAGGGGCCGTAGCCTTCTTCCATAAGGTGGGTATCAGAGACTTCGCGGCTGTCAGCAGGTGCCTCGTCAGGGATTTCTTATATGTTTTGAGCGTCATGGTCGTGTGCTGTAGCAGCATAGGTAGGGGCCGGAGCGGGAGTTCCGGGTCGGATATTTCTCTGATTTTGGAATGCACCATCTTCCAGAAGGGGATGATTTCCGGACACGTCCACCAGATGTGGAGCATAGTGCCTCTTTCTCGTCCACACCTCCAGCAAGTCTCGTCATTTTACGGGGACATGCGATGTAGCACGTCTGGTGTTTTATACCAGGCCGTCAGCAACTTGTAGCTCATCTCCTGGTACTTTGAGCTAATAGAGCTTTTGTGTGTGAGCAGGAATATTTTGTCCCACTCCTGGGCAGTCAGGATTTCCCCGGTTTCTCTTTCCCATCTTGCAATGAATTTCGGCGGTGGTCTGTTTTCTCCATCCATAAGCATCGCGTACAGTGTGGAGATTCCCCGTTCCAAGTGTCGCCTGTTCGAGCAGAGATTATCAAAATGTGTGAGGTCTCGGTGGAATTGTTGTTTGGTCGGTGAGGTGGTGTAGTAGGACTTGACCTGCAGGTATCGGAGTCTGTCTAGTGCGGTTGGAGTGGTGTCAGGGAGCAGGTCCGTTTTTGAGGGTGCCACTGTTGCACCATTGTCGCATGTATATCCAGTCCGTTTGTGCAAATTTTTTTAGGTCTGCTGGGGTCAATCCACCTCCGATGTCCGGGTTACAGGTGAGGGGTGTGAGCGGGCTGGTGTGGGTGGTCAACTGTTGCGGGTAGCGGAGGGCGCACCACATCTTCAGTGTCGCGTCTATGAGGGGGTTGCCCGTGCGGAGGGCAGTGAGTGGTGTTCCTGTCCTCCACAGTAGTGAGGGTATTTTTCCACCTGCCTGTATAATCTCAGCTCGCACCCACAGTTTTTCCGTTGGGTGGGCATGCCAGTCGGCAACCCTCAGCAAATGAGTTGCCCGGTAGTAGCCTAGGATCGAGGGGAGCCCGGTTCCCCCTTGATGTTTGGGTTGCTCCAGAAGCTGTTTGCTGACCCTTGGAGCCCTTTTCTTCCACACAAACCTTTGAATTGCCGTGGATACTGAGTGAAAGAATGCTTGTGGTATGGAGATGGGGAGCGTCTGGAATAGGTACAACAGGCGTGGGAGAACATTCATCTTAATTGCGTTTATTCGTCCAAACCAGGAGATATATAGGTCCGTCCACTTTTGCATATCGGCTTGGAGCGAGGTCAGGATGGGGGCAAAGTTCTCCTGGTAGAGATGTGAGTGTTCTTTAGTCAACCAGATGCCGAGGTATTTTAGTTTCGAGCCACACCATCTGAATCTGAATTGGGAGCGCAAGTGTGAGCTAGGTTCAGAGGGGATAGAGATGTTGATGGCCTCAGACTTTTCCGTGTTGAGTTTCAGGTTCGAGATTTTCCCGAATGTATGGAGGAGACCTAATAGGTTTGGGATGGATATAAGCGGTCTTTCAGGGGAAGAAGAGCATGTCATCGGCATGCCAGGTGAATTCTTACCTGACCACCTTGGCCTGTATTTAACTGCAAGGATGAGCACATATCTCTGCATACCGGACTCCCACTAAGGTAAGCCGTTACAATTTGTTGTTTGTCCTGAGGGTGGTATCTGTCCAAGAAGGTGTGGTGCTGCCTATAAGAGCACATCTGCATCTTTATAGAGCTTTTTTCATGTTACCCCACATCATGATCTGTGTACTTATATATTAAGGGGTAAGCAATTGTATGATTATATATCCTCTAGCGCTCCACTCATCGATTACAAGACTATATCTTGTTGATCACTTTTCAGATACTGCTTGAACTGTTTTTGCCATCTAACTTGTTCTATTGCAAGAGGATGGTGCTGACTACTGCAGTGTTTTTTTTTTTTATATACTTTTCCTCATTAGATAAGATTAACTTCAGGGGATCACCTAATCAGTACTTCATTAAGTAGAATGAGGTGTGAGGTGTTTTGGAATTCAACAGACTTTAGAATGGAATGGCCATACATGTAGATATGCTATTATAGGAATAAAATGCAATAGTCTCTTTTTTCCAGAGTTTTTTATATATATATATATATATATATATTATATATTTGAAGGCTTGGCCTGGAGTTGTGGGAGGGGCTTGGTTCACCTTTAAAAGGGCTGCCAATCCACTCCCACCTTACCGTTGCTGGTCTGGCAAGTCTGAAACGTTACTTCCGGTTCAGACCGCCATCTTGGATTTTCCTTACCTGTTCCCTCGTGGTCTCCTGGTCCGGTGCTTCCCTGGCTCTCCTTACCGTTGCCGGCGTCCGCACAGCTCGCTCGTTACCTCTTCTTCATGAAAACTGTAAGTCAGGCCCGCCGTAAAGCAACCACTGCAATTCCCCTGCTTTACACGGCGGAGCCCCGTTAGGTTCAAATCGGCATTTGGTTTGTTTTATCATTATGGCATTCGCCTTAAAAATTCCCTCAGCTATTCGCATGTTCACCGTTCAAACTAACGAACGATATCATTCGGTTAAATATGCATAACCTCAATCAGTTGGTTTCGAATGTCAATTATGGTGTATCTATTCATTTGTTGCTACACTCTACATAGTTCTTTCGGCAACTACACTAACTCACGTATTAAGCACGAATTCAGCCGGTACTCCATGGGGTTTTTGCCCCTACTGGTTACAAATGTTATTGCAGTCACTTGTAAAATCTATTTATTAAATAGGAATGTTTTAAACAAGGATGATGGGTCCTGATTTCCTGAATTTGTTTTTCCCACAGAGTCTTCCCAGGGGTTCGTACTGGGAATTGTGAATTCTGTCACTGGTATCAATTATTTCTTATAGGTTGGTTGATGTTTAATTATGCTTTTTATTGTGAAGACCAATGATACACATTACATTAGTTAAGCATGTATCTTACTCTTTTAGGTTATTTTCCATCAAACGGTAGCTTTTACAAGCACGAAAACCGTCATCATTGTCGTTAAATCTACCCTCTGCAGTGTCGGGTAGGTTCCTTGTTTTTAGGGCCCACGATCTGGCCATACCACTACATTTATCAGACGTTCATATATCAAATTTCATGTCCAACAGTTAATCCTCTCGAGACTCTTACAGTCACTGGTTACTTCTACCTCGACAGCGCAACCTGACTCACATATCAGGTACTACGCCAGAACCCATTTTTTCTTCTTTACCATGTTCTGAGGGGTACTGGTCCAACCAGGTAAAGTTTCTGGTCTTAATCCATAGGCTAGTGGTCCCGCGAGACCAACAACCCTCTCCTCATACTCGGAGGAATACGCCCCTCGGGCCAAATCATAGCTAGCCGTCTCGCATTGTCGCATAGAGAGGGCCTCACCTGTCACTCCCATTCTATCTTATGCTTTAACTGCCACCGAGAGGCCAACACCCCGCCACAACGTTCGGTGGCCTCATACGTTCCCCTCGGGCCCACGCATAGGTAGAGCCTCTCAAGCCGCTTGGCAATTAGTAGGGACTCATCTGTCACCATCAACACGTATAATTGTTTCGCCGCTTGGTATTTAGCTAGCCTTACCAGTACCCACCCAATCAAACATTACAGAGTGATTGATTAAAGCTACCTTATATTTTTCAGTTATGTCTAATAATCCTGATATCCCCGAGGAACTCTCGCTACCCTGCACTCCCGCTAGGCCTGGTACCCCTGTTCCTGGAACAGACGTTGCTAGCCCTTCTTCTCTCAGATCATGGACCATCCCACGTCTCATGGCAGAACTTAGAAGACACTGCATCCCTTTCCCAGCTACTGCTAGGAAGGCCGAGTTGTTCAGACTTTTAAATACGGCCACTGACAACTCTGATGCGGGGGAATTGCCAACATTTCATGCCATGATGACCTCGCTCATGTCATCCATCAGCACAATTAATGACAGGCTGGATAAATTGGAAACAAGTGGTACTAAACAGACCGCTACGAACCCAATTGCTGCCAGTCACCCTCTGGCTGATTCATTGGAATCAGGGTCACTTAGTGAAGATATTAATCATTCACACATGGTCCCATCTCTCCTTAAAAAGGACATTCTGGAAGGCAAGGATGTCAACCTGGTGTCATTGCTTATAGCCTCCCAAGATGTCCTAGAGAATAGGACTTTTGCATATGGGGATATATCTGTCGTACTAAGGTCTAGAGACCCAAGACTGAACAGAAAACTGTCAATCCCTGAATTTGTACTGGGTTTTGGGATTTATAGTGATGTTTACTGCTTAGTATACCCAGGGAAAAGAGCAGAGCTGGATGCATACATGCACAAGATGGTGGACCTGGGGCACAAATACGGTGGTACAGCTTTTTACGATTACCACCATTCCTTTTCTGCAAAGGTGGCTGCATCTCTGGTTCAGTTCAATTTGACCATTAATTGGAGCAAATTGGACACTGAGTTATTTTGCAGGCCTCAAGCCTCCAGCTTGTGCAGCATGCGCATCTACAGCACATCACACAAATCTCTGCCCAAACACAGCTGAGATCGAACAAAACCAATCTACCCCTAACTTTCCTAAAGCTACCAGGGAATTGAAAGACAAACTGGGGAGAGACATTGTATTCCTGGGTAAATCCCAGGTATGCAATAACTTCAATGCGGGCAATTGTGGTTTCAGTTCTTGTAGGCTGATGCATGTATATTCACACTGTTTTAGAGCCCATGCCAAAACTATGTGCCCAAATAAAGCATTCCCCAAACCGTATCACACGTGTGTGAACGTCACTTTATTGACTTCACTCTTACAGCCACATCCTTCATGTCATTTCACTGACTCTATTATTTGGGGCATGACTGAGGGATTTCACACCGGGTTGGTCCATTTACCCTCCGGTACACTGGAATGCGACAACCTACAATCCACATTAGACGATCCACAGTTGGTAAATACTCTTATCTCAACTGAGTTGCAACAAGGGTTTCTGTTGGGACCATTCTTTTCCCCACCCTTCACGACTTGGAGAACCAACCCTATAGGGGTGGTCACAGGGAAGACCTCACTCAAACCCAGACTGATAATTGATTTATCAGCACCACACTCCTCCACTGTCCCCAGCCTAAACCAGGCCCGGACTGGCCATCGGGCACACCAGGCAAATGCCCGGTGGGCCGCGGTGGCCGTGGGGCCGAGGCCGGCAGGGGAGGTCCCAGGATCTCCCCTGCCGGTCTATGCAGGGCCGGCACTCTCCTAGCGCCGGCCCCGCTGTTTGCCACGACGGGCCGGTGGGGAGATCAAAGATCTCCCTGACCGGCCCACATGCGGCCGCCGGCGGGGAGGGAGGGAGACAGCCAGCCAGGCTGGAGAGAGGACCCGGCGGAGCTCTAATTTGCGGCTCCGCCGGGATCCTCTCGCGAGATCCGGCGCGTTGCCATGGCAACGACCGGATCTCGCGAGGAGTTCACTCACCCACGAGGACCACCAGGGAACACTGCCTCCCCGCCTCCAGTCCCAGCGTGCCGGTCCCCCCCTCCCAGGCTAAAGGTAAGAAGGGAGGGGGGGGAATAATACCTGTTTTTTTTTTATTTACCCCCCCTACATACACACAATAACATTTATACAGCACTCTCACACCCATCACACACAGCACTCTCTCTCACACCCATCACACACAGCACTCTCACACACACACAGCACTCTCTCTCACACAGCACTCTCACACCCATCACACACAGCACTCTCACACACACAGCACTCTCTCTCACACAGCACTCTCACACCCATCACACACAGCACTCTCACACACACACAGCACTCTCTCTCACACAGCACTCTCACACCCATCACACACAGCACTTTAACACACACAGCACTCTCTCACACCCATCACACTCACAGCACTCTCACAGAGCACTCACACACACACCCATCACACACAGCATTCTCTCACAGCACTCTCATACCCATCACTCTCACAGAGCACTCACACACACACAGCACTCTCACACCCATCTCACATACCCATCTCACACAGCACACTCACATCCATCACTCACACACAGCATTCTCACACCCATCACTCACACACGGCACTCTCACACCCATCTCACACAGCATTCTCACATCCATCACTCACACACAGCATTCTCACACCCTTCACTCACACACGGCACTCTCACACCCTTCACTCACACACGGCACTCTCACACCCATCACTCACACACGGCACTCTCACACCCATCACACACCGCACTCTCACACACACATACTGCACCCCTCACATACACACAGAACCCCCCCAACACACTGCACCACAAACATACACAATACTTCCAAATATATATATATATATATATATATATATATGTATACACGCACACACTACACTCTTAAAGGACCACTCTAGCCACCCAGACCACTTCAGCTTAATGAAGTGGTCTTGGTGCCAGGTCCTTCTAGGGTTAACCCATTGTTTTATAAACATAGCAGTTTCAGAGAAACTGCTA